ATCCTAGCATGGTTCAAATGTAGCCTGTCCCTGGAGAACAGCCCCCTTTTACACCAGTACTGGTGCCAGTGACCCATGAACGAAAACTTATTCCACCTCAACCAAACTCCAAACAATGTATTTCACTGATTGACTCCATATCCCTATTCCCATTTGCCTGTGGCTCAGGCAGTAATCCAGAGATTCTTATCTTGGAAGTTCTGCTTTATAATTTAGCTGTGAACTGTTTAAAGTCTTTCAGTGAAACCTCCTTTCTTGTGTTTCCAGTGTCATTGGCCTCGACATGGATGATGATGACTGGATACTGCTCCTTCTTCTCCAAGTTCTTATCCAGCCCTGAGGAGGTATCCTTTACCCTGGCAGCACATCCTTCAGGAATTATGCTCATTCTGTAGAGAGCAGGATCTATCCCCCTCATTATACTGTTCCCTCCCACAACGACATTCCTATTTCCTCTCCCCACTTGAATCACTCCCTGTCCCAAGGTGCCGTGGACAGTTTGCACATTCTCCCTGCAGTCCCCACTCTTGCCCACACACCTTGCAAGAACCTTATAACTGCTGGATAACTGCAGGAGCTGAGGGTCCTCAAATGTAATTTCATGGAACCTGTAATGGCCTCACATGCAGTCACAGTGTTCTGTCCCTGATCAATGACTAGCCTTCAATTCCCTTATCCAAGATATGTGAGCATCCTCTGCAGAAAGGTTTCCAGGGAACTTTCCACTTCCCTAATGTGACGCAATGTCTGCAGTTCAGACTCCAGCTCCTAAATCGAACTTCCTCAAGCTGTAATTGGCATTGACCAGTGTTTCCCATCAGCACATCTACGGGGACAAAACAGTGGTGTAATGGAGTTAGGAGGCATATGCTTGTAAGGTTTAACTCTTTGATTAAATATAAGATGGAGCAAAAGTTGTCTTCAGTGCTTCTGACTTTTCAGAGTAAAATACTCTGGTTGTGCCTTCATTGGCCTGATCACTGCCCTCTGGAACTGAATCTCTCAACCTCTGCTTCTTGGAACAAAAAGAAAAAATACTAGGGTTCTGATGCAGAGTCCCTGTACTCGAAGCTGCCAGGCCTGCTGAGTTTCTCCAGCAAATTCTGTTTGTATTTCAGATCTAAAACATCTGCAGTTATTAGTTTTATCAAAGAATCACTGGGGTAGATTAGGGGCCAAGCGACGAAATGTTTCCATGGAGATTAGGGACACAGAATAGACAATAGATGTTCTCATTATGCCTTCACAACAGAAGAGGAACCTGATACTGTCACAGGAAAGGAGTGAGTGAGGTAAGATATTGACTGTGATCCAGGAGGAGGTGCTCAAGGTTGGCGGCAGTGATATAGAGAAAATGACCTCATCAGTGACCCCCACAGTGGAGAATATGAAAGGAGGATCCCGAGGCAGTCACTACCAGTTAGAAGAGCATCTGGTCGATCCAGTCCAGTCCATGTCCCTCAGAGAGTTGCGGCTACATTCAGAGAGAAATCAATGTCCTTTACTTTTGCTGCTTCTTTCTACCAGATTCCCTCATTTATATTCACTGTTCCCCTCCTGTGTTCATTCACTTTGTGTGAGGTGCTGGCCTTTCTTTTTTTCTTGCCTTGTGCTTCCAGGGTCCAGATTTCTGAATCTATTTGTGGGAACTGCTGCCTCATTCACTTCCCGTCAGTTTTGGTCCGTCTGCTCGGTCACAGTTTAGCTCAGCTTCTAATTTCACAATTCACCTTACATGACAGAAAACAGTTTCTTTGCTGCCTCCAAATCAGTTCCTGTTTTCAGTCTCACTGTTTGAAGTCCTGATGCTGTCATTTGTTCTGCCTTCTGTACTGCCTGAGAAAATTCTTATATCAAAGATGTAAAACCAGCCTGAGAAACTAAACAAAGCCTTAAATCACTGTATTTATTCAAAAGTGTTATGATATTCATTTAAACTTGTCTGAAAAAGGCCACCATAGATAGACATGTGTTTCCTAAATTTGTGAGATCTAAGCTCTAAAAATATTGCTATTCCTTGAGAGTCTGTAGTTGAAATCCTGAAAAAATCCTCCCTAATGGCATTGTGAGTCTACCTGCAGCACATGGACTGCAGCAGTGCAAGACCATAGGCACAAAGAAAATAGGAGCAGGAGAAGGCCATTCGCCGATTGTAGGCCCTCACATCTACTCCATGTTTCATTTTCATCATGGCTGATCCTCCAACTCAATATCATGTTCCTTCTTTACCCCCATATCCTTTGATCCCTTCAAGTACTATATCAGTACTATATCCAGTATAGTACTATATCCAGCACATTCTAGAAGTCATGCAAAGTTTTGACCTCGATTATTTAGTGAATACTGCAAGTTCCCCACTCTCTGAGTGAACACAATTCTCCTCATCTCAGTCCCAAATGGTTTACTCAGTATCCTCAGACTGTGATCCCTGGTTCTGGACTCACCTGCTGTCAGGAACATCCTTCCTGCATCTAACCTGTCTAGTCATGTTCAACTTTTGTAGAATTATTTGAGACTCGCCCTCAAATTCTTCTGAAGTGCAGTGAATTCAAATGGAAATGATTCAACTTCGCTTCATATTTAATATCAACAACCAAGGGGTCAGTCTGGTAAATCTTTGCTGCACTCCCCCTGTAGCAAGAACATCCTTCCTCAGATAAGGAGACAAAAATTACTCACAATATTCCATGTGTGGTCTCTCCAAGACTCTGTATAACTGCAGTAACACATCCCTGCTCCTGTACTCATATCGCCTCACTGTGAAGGCCAACACACCATTTTCCTTTTTTACTGCCTGCTGCATCTGCAACACTTCTTTTCGGTGACTGGTGTACAAAGACACCCAGGTCTCATTGTACCTCCACCACTCCCCAACTATCATCCTTCAAATAATAATCTACCTGCTTGCTTTTGTATCAAAGTGGACAGGCTCACATTTAACCACATTATCCTGCATCTGCCATGCATTTGGCCACTCACTCAACTTGTCCAATTCACACCGAAGCATCATTGCATCCTCCGCACAACTTACCCTCCCACCCACCTTTATGTCACTTGCAAACTTGGAGATATTATGTTTAGTTCCCTCATCTAAATCATTCATATATATTGTGAATAGCGGCATCCTAGCACTGAGGTATCCCATTAGTCACTGGCTACCAATCAGAAAAAGACCCATTTATTCCTGCTGTTTGTTTTCTGTTTGCTAACCAGTTCTCTATCCATCTCAATATTCAACACCCCAAGCCAATGTCCTTTAATTTTACACATTAATCTCTTGTGTGATTTTCTCAAAAGCCTTCTGAATGTCCAAATAAACCACATCCACTGTCTCCCCTTCACCAACTCTACGAGTAACATGCGTGAAGAGTTCCAGTCAATTTGTGAAGCTTTTGTAAATCCCTGCAGCCTCAGTTTTCAAAGTGCTCTGTTATTAAATCTTTTATGATGGAATCTAGTATTTTCCCCAGTAGCGCCATCAGGTTGACTGGTCTATAATTCCCTGCCTCCCTTTTTAAACAGTGGGGTTACATTAGCTACCCACCAACTGTTCAGAATCTGTAGAATTTTGGAAGATGACCAACAATGCGTCCATTATTTCCAGGGCCACTTCCTTAAGTGCACTGGGATGGAGATTATCAGACCCTGCAGATTTATTAGCTGTCAATCTCATAAATTTCCCCAACAATATTTGTTGACTAATCCTGATTTCCTTCAGTTCCTCCTTCTCAATGAACCCTTTGTTCCCCAACATTTCTGGAATGTTACTCGTATCCTCCTTTGTGAGCACAGAAACAATGTTTGCATTTAGTTCCTTAGCCAGTTCTTTACTCCCCATTAGGAATTCTAGTTTCTGACTGTAAGGCAACTACATTTATTTTCACCATCCTCTTCTCTTCAGATCCCAACAGAAAAAAAAAAATTCTGGTTAGATTTAATGTTCCCCTCAAACATACGCTCATCTATTATTTTCTTTCCCTTAATCATTCCCTTAATCCTTCCATTAATCCCTTAATCTTTCCAATAATCAATCACTCCTCTGTTCTGTTATTTTGTTAGGCCAGTTTGTTTGCCTCTTCCTTGGATCTTATACTATCCCCAATTTCCCGTGTAAGCCATGGTTTGGTCACCTTTACAATTTTACTTTTGCGCTGGTGGCAGTAGCTATGGTAAGGATCTCTGTAAACCCCTTGTTGTTAGTCACTAACAGTCCCCATTAACAACTATTTACCCTCCCAGCCTGATCGTTAGCAACTCTTTTGTCTGTCCAACTGTCTTTCTCTCTCTTTGGGCTCTATCCTATGGTTTACTCCCTACCCCACCCACCTCCCTATTTTCTGCATATAAACTGACGTTTTCCCAGCCACCATCAGTTCTGAAGAAGGGTCACTGGACCCAAACGTTAACTCTGTTTTCTCCTCCACAGATGCTGCCAGACCTGCTGAGCTTTTCCAGCAACTTTGTTTTTGTTCCTGTATCCAGGGAATGGAGGGAGAAACTCCCCATTACCCCCCAGTCTGCCCCCTGGGACCCTTACCTGCGGAGCAGCTTCAGTTTGCTGAGGCTGTAGAGGCTGTATCTCTGTTGATCTTTGAGGATATCCTACCTCTTTAAATACAGCCTGGCTTCCTTTTCTAATGCAGCAGACTCTTCTCAGTTCCAATCGTCACATCTGCTGTGTTTTGTGAGGAAGCCTCTCCCACTATGAATAGTCCAAGGAAGAGAATTGCAGTATGTGGAAAGTTAACTTGTCAGGCACCGGTTGAACAGTGTGAGCTCAACATGTCACTGTTATAGCACCATCTGTATTGCTGTTCTCAGCACACAGTGATTGAAAGCCAAAATATCAATCACCATCAAACGATCACAGCTGGTCCTGACAATTTGTCCCCTCTCTTTAATACAGGACTCAGGCTGCTGGGAGGGTCCCTTTAAATCCTGGCGGAGGGTTAGAGCAATCAGACAGCTGTTCATTTATTGATTTTGTTTTTATTTTGAAGGTGCAAATGCCCCTATCCTTCTCCAGTCTCCGATCTTGGAACGAGTCACCGAGGGTCACACTGCCCGGTTACAGTGCACCGTGAGGAACGCCGCAGTGACACACACCAATGTTTACTGGGGCCGGGAGCGACCAGGACTTCAGAGGGAGTGGATTTTGCTTCATTACTCATCAAATTATGCATCCATGTATCCAGAGTTCAAAGAACGATTCCAGTCTTCTCGAGACTCCTCCAATAACAGCTTCATTCTGACCATCACAAACGTGCAGCCCAGTGACAGTGGGGTCTATTACTGCTCAGTCTGGGGAAGGGTCTATGGGAGAGGAAGCCAACTCATTGTCGACAGTAAGTAGAGTTTACATGGCAACCACCTCCAGCAATGAATTGGAAATCAGTTTGTGATCAACAAGATTGAGGAGGTGAAGGAGAGTGATCTTGGGGATGGATTCACTGTGGGTAGGAAGCTAAGTTCAGATTCAAAGTTGGTTGGTGGGGGCGAGAAATGGAATTTTTTTGTGATAATGGGAGGAGGATATTGTAGGAAATATGGAGCTTTATCCTGGAGAATGAGTGATATTAGTTCCATTCGACTCACAAGAGTGTCAGTGCCATTGGGCTGGATGTACAGAGGCAGGGAGATTGCTTTGCGAATGCCACATCTGCAGGGAATCTCCCAGGGATTGGGAATGAACCGTAGAACACACAGAGGCACACATATCTATCTCCATTCGAGAGCAAATTGGTTTGACCCAAGTTAAAGGGAGCCACTCCACATCGAGCATGGGGCAAGGGGAAAGACTCGTTCTCCATGAGCTTCCACAGCTGAGTCTGGGATTGATGCTGAGATGTTGTCATTATTCTACATTACACTCCAGCCCTTTCAGCCATGTGACTAGGGAAGAGTGATCATCGTATTCTGGGCGTTTCCGACATAATTCGCTGGAGCTTCGTTTTGACCATTGCTGAGAGCCTGGCTTCAGTCTCCGTCCTAGGCCAGGTAGTCCTGGAGCATTCTCTTCCACTTGCCCCATTGTGTGGGAGGGGGCAACCAATAGCAGATCAGATGTAATGCAGGGAAATGTGTGGACAATCAGACTGGATGGAGAAATAAGAGCAGTGGAGACATTTTATTTCGAAGCGCAATTCTAACGGGTGTGCAGGAGCAGACAGAGCCGGGAGGAGAATCTTTAGCTGAAAAAATTCATCGAATTTATAAGAAAACGTGAGAACAACCCTTTAAAGTCTGTAGCAAAACGAAAAAAAATGAATTGATACCCGTATTAGGGCAACACAAAAATGTATAGATTATGAGAACCTGGTTTATTGAACTGTTTGGACATTTCTTGGTTGAAGAGGGTTTACCCCATGATCACTTGGATCTGAAAGATCAAAATGTGCTGTGTTTTACAAAATTCAAATTATTTTGAGTCGATGAAGGATGTTAATAAAAGATAAGAACTGGGTTTTATTGCTAAGTTGCTGGACTGACTGATTTTGAATATGGCCTAGCAACAGTTTCTCGGCTCAAGTTGCTATGTGCTTTCACAGCAGCTGAAGCAAAATTGTCCAGCTGACCAAAAGCAGTGAAAAAAGTTCCCTTTCTTCTGATAAAAAAGGAAGGAAACTTCAATCAGGACCAGCTGCACAAGTTCTCCATCTCAGTCAGTAAAATACATGGGAAAAGTTGGTAAGATCTCTTCATGAAGGATTTGTAAAGATAAAGTTTCCAAGATCAGGATTTCAAATTATTTCCCATCAGAATCTGAATGATGGTCAGAAGATCTCTCATCATTGTATAACTTTCAGGAATCAGCCTCATTGACAAGAAATTGAAGGAACGCTGAGAGGTCAGCACATTCTGCCTTCTGATGTGATTTCCTTGTCCCACTGGGATGGTCTTTCTTTCAGGCCTTTTCTTTAACAAACAGCCCAAACTCTTTCTGCAGAGCTATGTCACCTTGTCTGTGAATGAATGTATGTTTGAGATTAATGGATATTGTTTGATCCCAAATAGAAATGTAGTTCCTGATCACATTTTCTGCCTTTTCAATAATCTGTCTCACTGATAATAAATTATTTTTGAGGTCATCAAACAAACTACCAAATATTTTTTCTTTACTTTGGATCGGAGGCCAGAAGAGAGACAAATTGGCTGTATTGTTCATTCAGTGACACTTTTAGAATGGCTTGTGGTTCATTGGGGTTTGATTACTCATGGACTCCCCCCATTTGAGTCCAAACACTATGATGTGAGTATGTAGTTTCTGTATGATTTTAATATCATTTAGTTTGGAAATTGGATTCTGAACTCGTGGCATGTAAGTTTTGATCTCTGTCTCTGATGGGATTTAAAGATTTACAAGTCAATATTTCTGAAGTTGTGATATAATTTTAAAATATCAATCTGACAGAAACAGTTGTTGGTGTGCAAATGGGAATTTGTCTGCATTTGAACATATTTTATGAGCAAACAAAATAAACATTGAAATCATTAGGGTACTTTCAAGTGTGAAATTGGATTGTTTTCTGTTTGAGAGAAAGACATATTGTTTGGAAAGCATTATTGTTTCAGTTCAGAGTCCTGGCCGATGTTAGATGTATAAAACCATTCCTTTAAATGACAGATGATAATTTAGGACTGTTAAGAAGTCGGGGATCTCAGAATAAATGGTTTAATTTGAAAATTACCGCCATGAAAGTACCACCTTAATCCCAATTGTCTGTCATCTTTTAGTTAGCCAATCCTCTATCCATACAACCTCCCACACCAAGTACTCTAAGCTACTTAATAAGATGGATGTGTGGTACATTATCAAAAGTGTTTTATGATAATTATTATATTGGCGATGACTGTGAGTGAGGTTTCTTCCTAATCTGCTGCAGATCATGTGCTGCAGTTTGACCCAAAACACCCATAGGGAGGGAATCCCAGGAAGTTGACTCAGTGGCACTGGATGAATTGTTATATATTCCCAAGTTCGGATGGTGATTGGCTTGGAGGGGAACTTGCAGAGGGTGGTTGTTGGGTTCCAGAGAAATAAGGAACAAGTCCGCAGTCTTTTCAAATATCTGGCTTTATTTCTTCTTATATGTAGGCTACATAGTTGCAAGTTGAGACCTCTGCAACAGCAGCTTTAATCAAGTTTCTTATACATGCTTTACTTGATCCTCTCTGAAACCACAAATAATGGTCAGTAACTTCTGTCAATCTATTCCGCGATGTCTTCCCATGACTTACTCTGGTAGGTTAATGCAACTGGTCCCCACACCCTAACCACATGAACTAGCCAACAGTCTGTTTGGCACATGCTTCCATATCTGCTGCAAACAGATCTCCGCAGTCTCGACCTCACCTGCAAGTCAGCTTTTTGCAATAGCATTTGTAAATTTAACCCTTGTTATGCTGTAGCTTAATCACACAGTTTTGAATATACTCCACTGTTGTGTTCCCATGTATCTACTGCCCTTGTCCTTCCAGATGGAAGTGAATGTGAGTTTTGATCATACTGCAGAAGAAATTGGAAAGTCCAAAATTTTGATGAGATTCTGAAGAGAATTGAGAACTATTATCTTACAAATTGTTTATTTAAATATTTATCTTTATATTGATGGATTTTGTTTGATCTGAATCAGTCACAGGTGCAGCTCAGTGGTTTAGTGCAACAACCTGTTTTCTCTGTTTAATTCAAAACTCCTACCACCCTGTCAGATCCTTTCAATATGGCAGCACAAAGAATCTGTTCTTGTGGAAATAAATTTATTGTTATTTTTGCCATAAAGGTATCACTGGTCCAGTCCTTCTCCAGTCTCCGAGCCTGGGACATGTCACCAAGGGTCACGCTGCCCGGTTACAGTGCACCATGCAAAATGCTGCAGTGACACGCACCGATGTTCATTGGTACTGGAAGCAACCAGGGAATGTCATGAAACACATTATAACACATGAAATGAAGAACAACATCCGAAGGAGACCAGGATTCACTGATCGATTCCAGCCTTCCAGAGACCCGTCCAGTAACAGCTTCATTCTGACCATCACAAATGTGCAGCCCAGGGACACTGGGGTCTATTACTGCTCAGTCTGGGGAAGAATTTATGGGAGAGGAAGCCTGCTCAATATCACCAGTAAGTAGGGTTTATATGACAATCACTTAGAGCAAATACCCCTTGCCCAATGAATGAATTGGAGATCTGTTTGTGGGTGTCACTGGCTGGGCCTGCATTTATTGCCCATCCTCAATTGCCCTTGAGAAGGTGGTGCTGAGCTGCCTTTTTGAACCTCTGCAGTGACCCATTGGTTACCATTCCTGGTTTTAGTTCGGGCTCCTACACAATCTATTCAGATCCTGTGAAACAGCTCTTCAAAAGCTATGATCGGAATTAAAGGTGAAGCTTTAATTGGACGTTGGGGATTCCCCAAGTCCTGACATGGACCAGCTTGTCAGGTAAAATTTAACATCTTGATATAATCCTGACCAATATAAGTGTTTTAATAAATTTAGACTGTGTGTTCTTCATCCATAAATAATCAGTCATTGGAATTTCATGAGCTAATTTGTAAAATTTCATTCTGATCCTCAGATGGAGTGACCAACTGATGGTCCACTGTCCATTCCTCATGACATGGTACTTTGGGCAGACTCTATTTCCTCATTAACACTTTGCCTTTCAAGCAATAACACTCAGGGATTGTTTCTGATTCCATTTCTGAGGAGGCTTTTTAGTAAAGCTCTCTCGATTCAGCATCCATTTATTGCATGTCTTTTTAAGAAGATTTTCTGAACATATCAGACACATTATCTGTACCTTCATTCTTCTCTGCTACATTTTTGAAAATTGATTCTGATTGCAGACATTCCAATCCAAATCAATGTTTCGTAGATTCCTTGTTCTACGACTCTAACTCTGTGAACCTGTGATCTAGTCACAACACAGTCAGAAATCATTTGTGGATATTCCAGTGACTGACCTATCCCCCGTCCTCCCTGGACTGACCTATCCCCTCCCTCACTCCCCACCTACACTCTCCTTTACTGGCTCCATTCCCACCTCTTCGACCTGTTTGTTTCCTCTCCACCTATCCTCTCCTCTTTCCATCTTCTATCCACCTCCCACTCTCTCCCTATTTATTTCAGAACCCCCTTCCCCTCCCCCTTTTCTGATGAAGGGTCTAGGCCCGAAACGTCAGCCTTTCTGCTCCTATGATGCTGCTTGGCCTGCTGTGTTCATCCAGCTCTGCACCTTGTTGTCTCGGATTCTCCAGCATCTGCAGTTCCTACTATCTCTGATTCAATTTTAACCCCACTGCGAAGCCTCTTCTAAGGATGCCTAGCCTGAAGAAGTTACCCTCCTCCCTCCGGACAAACCTCAGGGGATCTGTCTCCCACTGCAACTCTCTTGTAATCTCTTCGGCCCTGAAACTGCTCGACCATGTCCAGAAACAAACCACATCACTTTTCTTAGCACCTGCCTACGGAACCAGATCATCCCCAATGGACTACAATCCACATTCAAGCCTTCCCAATTTGGCCCCAACCGTGACAATATCTACACTCATGGCATTGAGATCCTTCAGAAGCGTTTCTCCCTGTGACTCCTGAAGCACACACTTGCAGCAATGTGCCGGCATCTCCAGGCACTACAATCAAGCCTACCTCAGCTGAGAGCCTCCCTCTCCCAGACCTGCAAAGGACCTCTCCTGTTTTTCATTCTTCGTAGGATCCATTTCTAATGAAGGGTCTAGGCCCGAATCGTCAGCCTTTCTGCTCCTCTGATGCTGCTTGGCCTGTTGTGTTCATCCAGCTCTGCACCTTGTTATCTCGAATACTGAGTGGCCTTGATTGAGTGGGCATGGAGAGGATGTTTCCACTAATAGGAGAGACTAGGACCTCAGGTCTTAGCCTCGGAGTGAAGGCATGACCATTTGGAACTGAGATGAGGAGGAATTTGATCAGTTTCAGGGAGGTGAATCTGTGGAAGACGTTGCTGCAGAGAGCTGTGGAGTCCAAGTCAGTGAGTGTATTTAAGAGAGATGGATGAGTTCCCAATGAGTAAGGATTTCCGGCAAAAGGCAGGAGAATGGGATTGAGAAACTGGTGTAAATTTATTCCTAAAAACCAACAGGACTGCGGATGCTGGGTATCAGAAACAAAAACAGAAATTGCTGGAAAAGCTCAGCAGATCTGGCAGTATCTGTGGAGAGAAATCAGATTTAATGTTTCAGATCCAGTCACCTTCCTCAGAATTGATTCATTCAATATCTTTCTCTTAAAGGTGTAAATGCCCCAGTCGTCCTCCAGTCACCGATCCTGGAACGTGTCACCGAGGGTCACACTGCCTGGTTACAGTGCACCATGAGGAACGCCGCAGTGACACACACTGATGTTCATTGGTACCGGGAGCAACCAAGGAAAAACACGGAGTGGATTTTAACACATCACGTGAGGGACTTCACACAATGGAGCCCACAATTCATGGAGCGATTCCAGTCTTCAAAAGACTCCTCCAATAACAGCTTCATTCTGACCATCACAAACGTGCTGCCCGTTGACAGTGGGGTCTATTACTGTAAAGTGTGGGGAGATATCAGTGGGAATGGAACCCAGCTGACTGTAATAGGTAAGACATGTTTATCTTTAATAATCTGACAAAACAACCCCTTCCACATGGATTTATTGGAGAGGAGAATGCGTTAAATTTCTCTGGTAAAGAGAAAGCAGAGAGCTTCATGTAAACATAAAACAGTTACCTTCTGTTGTTTTACTCACAGATAGAATAAACTGTTTCTCCTCTTGGATAGTTCCTCAATCTCAAATTTTTTCTCTTCTCTCTGTCTTTTTACTTCTCCAGCTCGTTTGTTCTCAGTGTTGTATTTAACATTCTCCAGTCTCTATCTGGTTTTGTTCTATTCATTCTTGGGACATGGCAATCACTGGCTGGGCCAGCACTTGTTGTTCATCTCAAATGGCCCTTGAAAAGAATTGTCTTCACCCAGAGAGTGGGGAGCCTGTGGAATTCTGTGCCATAAGAAACAGTTGAGGCTAAAACATTGTATGTTTTCAAGAAAGAGTTAGATTTAGTTCTGAGGGTGAAAAGGGATTAAAGGGTTTGGTGAGAAATGGGGGACTAGGGACAGAGTTGGATGGTCAGCGGCACTGTGACTCAATGGTTAGAACGGCTACCTCATAGCGCCAGAGACCTGGGTTCAAATCCACCCTTGGGTGACTGTCTGTGTGGAGTTTGCACATTCTCCTTGTATCTGTATGGATTTCCTTCCACAGCCCAAAGATGTGCAGGCAAGGTGGATTGGCCATGCTAAATTGTACATAGTTTCCATGGATGTGTAGGCTTGGTGGATTAGCCATGGGAATTGCAGGGAGAGGGTAGTGTGAGTCTTGGTGGGATACTCTTCAGAAAGCCAGCGTGGATTTGTTGGGCTGAATGACCTGTTTCCAGTGTAGGGATTCTATGAATATGTTGAATGGTGGTGCAGGCTGGATGGCCTGCTCCTGTTGCTACTTTCTATGTTTTGAGAAGGTGATGGTGATGTGCCTTCATGAGCAGCTATGGCCCTCTTGGTGTTGGGACATTTGATCCAGTAACTCTGAAGGAACGATGATATATTTCCATGTTCGGATGGTGAGTGCCTTTGTAGGGGAACCTGAAGGATGTGGTGTCGCACGTATCTACTCTCCTTGTCCTTTCAGAGACAAGAGTCTGTGGGTTCAGAAGGTACTTTTGGAGGAGCCTTGGTGAGTTACTGAAAGGCATCTTGTCGATGGTACACATTGTGCTTTGGTTTTGAATGTTGAATGTGTTAGTTGTGGTACCAACCAAGGGGGCTGCTTTGTCCTGGATGGCATGGTGCTTTTTGAATGCTGTTGGAGCTGTACCCATCCAGGCAACTGTAGAAGGAGGCAATTCAACCCATCTTGTCTGCACTGACTCTTCACATGATCATCATTCCCAACTGCCAATGTCCTGCTTTCTCCCCACAGCCTTGCACACTGTTAGAATACAGAATAGGATGTAGCAAAAGTGAATCAGAGAGGGCGTAGTCAGGGGGCATCAAAAGCTGTTTGAAACTTTCAACCTTTTCCTTTTGGTTTTCGATGAGAATGAAACTTTTCAAATGGTTGCTCTAACTCTTCCAATCAGTCAGCTGTGAACATTGTGAAATTACCTTCTCGATAGTTTATTCTGTTACAGGATCCTGCACAGAATCAAAGCAGCAAATTGGAAAGCATTCAGCCTAATGGATATTTTTCAAATCATTTCCTCTCAAATCACAAACAGCAATATCCACACAAGAAGCTTCAATAGATCTTCTACAAATCATCATTTAACCTGGAGGAGATTTTATAAAATTTTACAATTCAAGTTACACTATTTTTACTCTTTGAAATGAACAGATCCATTGGCTGATCCAGTCCTCATTCAGTATCCAGTGGTCAGCAAGGTACCAGAGGGTGAAACTGTCGAGTTCCAGTGTGCCATGTACAATGCCAGTGTGAATGACAGTGATGTCCACTGGCACTACCAGCGACCTGGCAGCAACACGGAGTGGGTGATAAGCCAGTTTGTGAATGGCACCCTCAGCAAGGCCCAGGGTTTCCACGATCGTGTTCATGTTTCCAGGAATGTCAGCAGGAACAGTTACATTCTGAGCCTTGTGAATGTGACTCTCAATGATAGTGCTGTGTACTGCTGCAGTGTGTGGAGCTACATCTATGGAGCAGGGAGCCAGCTCAATGTAACTGGTAAGGCAATGGGAGGGAATGCTGGTGTGAACAGAGAAGGGAGAACATGACTGTTGTGATTCATCAGTGGAAGGGCAGAATGGTCATCAAGGCCAGGTATTCCCAAGGCAGGATGGGGAGAGGCTTGGAGGGGAGGTCGTAGCCAGTGGGGTTCCCTTGTAGCTGCAGTACTTGTCCTTCAGAATGGAGGAGGATGTGGGTTTGTGATGTACTGTCTGAGGAATTTTGCTGAATTTCAGCAGTGTATCTTGTAGTTAATACACAGTAGGGTGTCAGTGGTGTAGGGATTGGATGCTGTGGCCACAGTGCCAGTCATGAGGGCTACATTTTCCTGGATGGTATCAAGCTTCTTGAGTGTTGCTGGAGCAGCACCACCCAGGCAAGTGGGGAGTATTCCATCACACTCCGGACTTGTGCCTTCTGGATAGTAAATAGGCTTTGGGGAGTGAGGAGGGGATTTGTGACCCTGAGGGTCTCAAACATAATGTCAACATTAGTGACTGAAGCGACTGAGTGTGTAACATTCTGATATTTTACAGAAAAATCTTCCCATGGTATTCCCTGGATTTCAGACCCTAATTTAATCATTGGCACCATTCTGGGCTTCATTGTCTTGATCTGCATTGTCCTGCTCACAGTTTTCCTTCATAAACAAAAGCTGTGTTTATCAGTAAAGGACTCCACTCAACGGTAAATCTCATTTCATCTTGTGTTTGATTCTATTACTGCACAGTTATTGTTTTTGACACTGAGGCGATTGTTTTTAGTGAGTGCTGATATTCCCACTGCACTGTACAGATCCATTGCAAATGGTGGATCAGTGACTGTCGAGACCATCCCACACATCCAGATGCCCAATCACTTCCAATTTGCTCCATCTCTGGTATCTCACGTCCTCCAGTGCCAGGCCACAGGCACCTGCTGGTGACAGTAAGAAATCTTTGAATGGACCAAGCAATAGGCATCACCTGAAGGATCCCCAGTAGGTACCAGATCATTACCCACCGAGCCCAGTGTTAGGGTCTGCCTTAGTGCTAGTGGCTCACTGGCAGCGCAGCACCTCCTGCTGGGAAGACCATGCGAGTACCAGACCACTCGGCCCAGTATGCTGTGCTGGCCTTTTACTTCCACATCAACAGAAAACGCAAATCACATTTCCCTCATAGTAGGAACTGCCGATGCTCCATTTCTGAAGAAGGGTCCAGACCCGAAATGTCAGCTTTCCTGCTCCTCTGATGCTGCTTGGCCTGCTGTGTTCATCCAGCTCTACACCTTGTTATCTCACATTTCCCTGCCCTGCTCCCCCATTCTTTCAACACTCACACCCTTCTCCAATCGAATCCTGAATGTTGACAGTGACTCTACACCTGCCATGAATCTGTCATGGCTCACAGAGCCTCCCCATCCTCTGGGTGAAGGGATTTCCGGAGCTTATGGACTTGATCTTTTTTGTTATATTTTGTATCCATGATCCCTCATTCTTCACCACCTCAATAATCTGTTTCATCTTGTTCATTGGCCCTTGAAAGGGTTTTGAATCCATTGATCATAGTCCTGCAGTCTGGCTACTTACAAAGATACAAAGACATTCTGAAGTTTTTCTTTGTTTCTGTATTTGCTTGTCCCGGGAAGCATCCCACTGAGCTGGTGACTATGAGACCAGGAGAAACAGGGACAGGAGTTGGCCATTCGGCCCCTCAAGTCTGCTTTGCAATTCAATACGATCATGACTGATTCAACATTCCTCACATCCACTTTCCTGCCTTCCTCTGTAACCCTCGATTTCCCAATTGACCAAGAATCTATCGACCTTTGCCTTTAAAACTGAAGGGCTCTGCCCCATAGCTCTCTGTGGCAAGAAGGTCCAAGCGCTCACAATCCTTTGAGAGAAGAAATTCCTCCTCATCTCAGTCTTAAATTCATATTCCTTTTTTTCTGAGACTATGCCCTCTAACCCCAGACTCTCCCATGATTCTCTCCAAGTTTACCCTGTCAAGCCCCTTAAGAATCCTGTTTGTTTCAATGAGATCACAACTCATACTTCTAAACTCCCATGAGTAGAGTCCCAACTTGTTTAGCCTTTGCTCAAAAGACAATCCCTCCATACAGGGGATCGTCCCAGTGAACCTTCTTTGAACTGCCTCTGTTAAATAATATCTTTTCATAAAGAGGGACCAAAACTGCTGTCCACACTGCAGATGTGCAGTTCACTCTTTCAGTCTTCACAGCTACGTAACCTTGAAGAGGAGAGCCCTCTCAGTGTCTGGAGAGCTGATGGAATGTTCATTCTGAGTAAAGGACTCATAGGCCCAGAGTATCTTAACTGACATTCAAAAGATAAAGAATATTGCTTCCTCCTGATGCCGTAATTGTTACCTTTGACTTTGTGAAGATTGTTTGAATCTAGCAGTGAGCGTAAATCCAGCGGGAAGTTAAAGTATTGTCTGAGCATAGGGAGCCCAGCAGAGCCCTGTATCCAGCTAAGTCTAGCTGCTGTTATCCATGACCCTCCAGCACAGGCAGCAGTACCCTATTACTAGAGAGACACTCAAACAGAATTGAAATGTTTCTGATTCACCATGAGCTCTGTGTTCTTGTGGCACCCATATCAGTCTGTCTTCTGTCTCCAAATGTGACAGTTACTTTCATATTCACCAGTGGGATGTGGGCATCAGTGGCTGGGCCCAGCAATTATTATCCATCCCAAGTTGCCCTGGAGATGCTGCTGATGAGCTACCTTCTTGAACCTCTGCAGTCCAGTGCACACGCTGTGTTTATTGAGTTGGGATGGAAAGAGTGAAGTTCTCGAATCATCAGCTCCTAATATGAGCTGCATAACGGGGTCTCGATTGGGAACCAGAGACTCGTGATTTCACCTTGTCCCAAATACAAACCCCTTTCTTCCAGTGCTCCATGCTGGGACATCCTTTCTGAACCTGTGGGATAAGACACATAAAAATGATTCAACCTGTAAATACTTCTCTAAATAATTGGTTTATTGATGTTAAAACATGAGAGGTTTACAGATTAATACAGTTTGAAACTTATGTAAATCAGAAGCTAAAGTCAGCTGTCTTTCTGAAACATGGAGGGTTAATCCTTCATCACTCTTCATCAAGGCACAGTGGCTCAGTGGTTAGCACTGCTCCCTCACAGCGCCAGAGACCTGGGTTCAATTCCATCCTTTGGTGACTGTCTGTGTGGACCTTGCATGTTCTCCCTGTGTCTGCATAGGTTTCCTCCCACAGTCCAAAGATGTGCAGGCTAGGTGGATTGCCTGTAGTGTCTGGGGGTGGGATACTCTGAGCGTCAGTGTGGACTTTTTGGGCCAAAGGGCCCCTTTCCATTCTGTCAGGATTCTATGACTCTCACTATTCAGCTTGTTCTGTTGTGGACAAGTTGCAGGGAAATGATTGGGTTCATTGTTATTTTTAAGTCAACCTGTTCTGACGCACCCTCTGGGGCAGCTGGGACTTGAATCCAGACAATCATTCTTTTTGTCTTTAATCTGGGCTTAAAAGATTGTGGTGAAAGTTGTAAAATCCATGAGCACTGAGTGTGAAAAATTACAGTATTGTTGTTGTGTGGTAAATGTGCAATATGTCTAATGTGTGGCATTTATTTAGGAGCGCTGTTGAAGATCAGGATGCTGTGTATGCAACAGTAAATGGTAAGCAAATTAATTCAATCATTATTACAATATTTGGCAGAAGTAACTCTCTGTTCCAAATATCCATTTAAGCCTGTTAGATTCATGCTGTGATTAATAAGCTAATGGTTAGAGCATGTCATTTGTCTGATTAACACAATTTATATTCACAGGAGATATATTCACAGGAGACTGCAGATGTTCTTTAACAATGGAACTTACGTATATGACACAATAGAGAGAAAGCAAAACAAAACGTGCTATGTATACATATTTATTACAGTGAGAAGAACCTTAACACACTCATTAAAACAATGTTTCATCCACATTCCCATCACTCTCCATCACAGAGACAAAAGTGTACAGAAATTATACTCCACTCTAAATCTTTCATTTTTCCAATGAACTGACTCCTGCTCATTTCTTTGTTTTGAACTGTCAAAACAATTCCACGACTTTTCTCTGAATCCAGTTGCATGAAGCTATCACTGTTCTAATGGCTAAGCTTTTTTCAATTTGAACAACCTGAAGATTCCTGTCTCAAATTTGCCCTGCTCAGAAAATTTCGCAAACGTTGCTGTTGTGGTGGCTGGATTCCTCTCCACTGAAAATTCCAGGTGGGAAAGAAACTCTAACTTCATTCTGAATTCAACTCTTAATTATTTTCAACTTAACCATATTAGATCTTTGAAATTGCAGTGCTCTTCCTGTGATCAGTTTGTCTGATTGACGTGATGGACGTTACAACAGAGAGGAGTGCCCAGAATTCACATTCCGCTAAACCAGACCAAAGTGACTCTGGCATTTTCTCCTCACTATCCTTCCCAGTTTAAAGGGCTCCATTCTGAAGAGGTATCATTGTATTTTCTTTCAGATCGGACACAGAGCAGTGAGCAAGCAGCAGTTCCTCCTGTTGTGGTAAGGAAATGGGACATCACTGTTGGTTTTTGCTGCATTTTTAACACAAAGGCTTTGAGAAACAGGAGCCACATCCAGGAGGAACTTCAGTATCACCAGAATAATGACAAAGCATAAATTGTAACAAACAGAAAGTCTCTGTTCCACAACAGGCTCTGAATGAAAATAATCAAAGAGAAATTGATCATTTCCTTCTTTTGAATCTTGCAACAAGTTGCATGGACAGGAATGTCCACAAACTTCCAGTGCCTGGGAAATGCTCCTACACTTTGTGGGATTGTGATCACAGACAGAATGCCCTGGGGTCTATGTTCCTCTTAATAGCTTCTTCAGTTCAGGGGACCCTCCGAGGGCTGAGATTAAGAAGGGAGAATGAACCACAGCCTGCTCCTGACTAAGACAATATGGCTGCAGTTCAATCTCAGCTCCAACTTCCTTCACTATCCCTAATGTTCTTCGTTCCCTCAGTATCCCAGCAATTCCTTTCTGGTGTCTTTGAGGAGCTGAAACCCACAACAAGCCCTGGGTCAGGAAGATTCAATCTCTGCTGTGCTCCAAATGAGCTGACTGCAGTTGGGGGAGAGAGGAGCTTGGCTTCATTGACCTCAGTACCCAAGATTAAGAAGGGGGAATGAGCCAGAGTTGCAGCTGGTGGATCATAATCCAGAAATCCTTCAATACCAGACAGGAGTCAGTAGAGACTCTCTTGCTGCTCAATCAGATGAATGGTAATTCAAGCCTCACTGCATAGATTTGAGCACAGATTTTGGGGTGACTGTCCAGTGCAGTACTGAGAGAGTGCTGCTCTGTAAAAGCTGCCACTCTTTTGGACGAAGAGTTAAATCTGGATCCTCTCTGCTGCCTTGGATGGATGTAACACATCCCAGGGCATTACTTTGGCAGAGAGCAGAGAGATTCTGCTGAACTCTCTGGGTGATGTGTGTCTCTTCCCCAACAATCACCAAAACCGAGCATCTGCTCAGTGCTGCTGCTGGGATCTTGCTGTGTACAAATGAGGAACTCCTGGTGTTTCTGAGAAAAATAATGAGTGATGTTTCTCTTCAATTCCAGCTGTCTGAAGGGGAATGTCTTTATGCTGATCTTCACTTTCACCAACAAGGA